TGACTAATGCTGCAGTACTGACTGACTAATGCTGCAGTACTGGCTTATGCTTCAGTACTGACTTATGCTGCAGTACTGACTTATGCTGCAGTACTGACTGACTTATGCTGCAGTACTGACTTATGCTGTAGTACTGACTTATGCTGCAGTATTGACTTATGCTGCAGTACTGAGTTATGCTGCAGTACTGAGTTATGCTGGAGTACTGACTGACTTATGCTGGAGTACTGACTAATGCTGCAGTACTGAATTATACTGCAGTACTGACTGACTTATGCTGCAGTACTGACTGACTTATGCTGCAGTACTGAGTTATGCTGCAGTACTGATTAATGCTGCAGTACTGACTAATACTGCAGTACTGACTAATGCTGCAATACTGACTTATGCTGCAGTACTGACTTATGCTGCAGTACTGACTTATGCTGCAGTACTGACTGACTTATGCTGCAGTACTGACTGACTTATGCTGCAGTACTGACTGACAAATGCTGCAGTACTGACTAATGCTGCAGTACTGACTTATGCAGCAGTACTGACTAATACTGCAGTACTAACTAATGCTGCAGTACTGACTGACTTATGCTGCAGTACTGACTGACTTATGCTGCAGTACTGACTGACTTATGCTGCAGTACTGACTGACTAATGCTGCAGTACTGACTAATGCTGCAGTACTGACTTATGCTGCAGTACTGACTAATGCTGCAGTACTGACTGACTTTTGCTGCAGTACTGACTTATGCTGCAGTACTGACTTATGCTGCAGTGCTGACTAATGCTGCAGTACTGGCTGACAAATGCTGCAGTACTGACTAATGCTGCAGTACTGACTTATGCAGCAGTACTGACTAATACTGCAGTACTAACTAATGCTGCAGTACTGACTGACTTATGCTGCAGTACTGACTGACTTATGCTGCAGTACTGACTGACTTATGCTGCAGTACTGACTGACTAATGCTGCAGTACTGACTAATGCTGCAGTACTGACTAATGCTGCAGTACTGACTGACTTTTGCTGCAGTACTGACTTATGCTGCAGTACTGACTTATGCTGCAGTGCTGACTAATGCTGCAGTACTGGCTTATGCTGCAGTACTGACTTATGCTGCAGTACTGACTAATGCTGCAGTATTGACTTATGCTGCAGTACTGACTTATGCTGCAGTACTGGCTTATCCTGCAGTACTGACTTATGCTGCAGTACTGACTTATCCTGCAGTACTCACTTATGCTGCAGTACTGACTTATCCTGCAGTACTCACTTATGCTGCAGTACTGACTTATCCTGAGGTACTGACTTATGATGCAGAACTGACTTATCCTGCAGTACTGACTTATCCTGCAGTACTGGCTTATGCTGCAGTACTGGCTTTTTCCAGACAATGGACAACATCAGTAGTTTTATTGGATCCTGTTATTGTACAGAATGTGTTGCTAGACCATAATTTATGTTCTCTAACATGTAACTCCAGCAATACTCTTCGAAAATGGGGAGCATTTTTAATCAAATTTATCAGTGCAACTTTCTTAGAACAGGTATTTTTATATGATGGAAGATGGTAAAAGATGGAAAATACACTCAGCAATAAAAAGCTATCAACTGCATTAAGAAAAACAATGCTAAAGTACTATTAGAATATATAATCTGCAAAGGGGAATGGAGGAGTGACATGAACTGCAGATGCCCTTCGACTGTCTAACCTGATGATGGTCATGATAATATAGTGATGTAGATATTTTTAAATTACTGAAGAGCACTACTGTCATTTGGTGGATAGGGGAGTGACTGGATAAAATTTCTTTGAACTGATGATGTTGGTGATGATGATGATGATGATGATGATGATGTAGCTAGTTATACGTTGCCAAGGATAATTGCTGTGAATTTGGGACAAAGGAGTTACATGATCAGATGACTTCAGCACATCTATGAAGTGATGACCTGGATAATGATGGATGACGGTGAGGATGAAGCAGAGATCAAGTTCAGCTGTGTACCCACCCATGCCATGTGTGTGGTAGAGCATGGATGTCACGCCATCAAAACGGAAACCATCAAACATGTACTCCTCAACCCACCACCGGACGTTTGACAGCAGGAAACGTAACACTTCCCACCTGAGGGAACAAAAACAGCAGATCATTCAGACATTCAACACCTGACATGCAATCACAGGTGGACATATTATTTATATACAGGAATGCTACAGGAAAGTCAAAAAGGGAAGATGAGCGGAGACCAGAAGAGAGCTACCTGGATTTTTTTTCTTTTTCTTCGCGTTCACGAGCTGTAAACTGAAGCAGAAAGTTCTGGTTGTTCGGCCAATTCTGTGTTCCAGAGTTTTTCATAACATATGTTTTACAGATCTGGCTAACTTATATGCGGCTTTGTTCATTGCCTTCCTGATAGATGCAGTCTGACTGGACTGTTTTAAATCATCAGTCATTAGACGAAGTTCAAATTCGTTGGAGACAGTTCAAAACAAAAATGGAAATCTCACAAAATGTCCTCCACTGTTGCGTTTAAACCAACCCCCCTCCCCTCCCCAAACACACACATACACAAGCCAGCACACACGCACACACGCGCTATTGCTCAGTTTGAATATCAGTTTCATATATAAACAGCAGAAGATAAACTGGGTCTTGATGGTAAACCTTTGCACTCTTGGCAGTAACCATATTAGTTTTAGTTTAAGCAAAAACTAATGACATATTTTGTTCAGTAAATACAGATTAACTGGCACCATTCCACCTTTCCAGACGATAGTGTTATATTATGCTATCAGTAGTCATGGGACTCACAACCCATGGCGATGGCGAGTGTGACTAGCAAGACTTTCCAGACGATAGTGTTATATTGTGCTATGAGTAGTCATGGGACTCACAACCAATGACAATGGCGAGTGTAACTAGCAAGACTTTCCAGACGATAGTGTTATATTGTGCTATCAGTAGTCATGGGACTCACAACCCATGACAATGGCGAGTGTAACTAGCAAGACTTTCCAGACGATAGTGTCATATTGTGCTATGAGTAGTCATGGGACTCACAACACAAGGCAATGGCAATTGTGACTAGCACGACCCTCCCGAGTTGAGAAAAGTCTTCCACAGTTATAGCTTGGGATTTCAGGACGTTTGCTGTCAACATTTGTATTTAGTGTGTTGTGTCTCAGACACTCAGCTCTCATCCTTTCTGCTGTCATTTCTTCCTTCTTTCTTGTTCCCTTTCTGATGTAACCCTCCAAACAATACCGGTCATGACATTTTGTTCCTAGCAGTCCACCCCAATACCTATATTGTGTATGTCCCTCTTGCACACATCTTTACATCGAAGTAGAGGTCGGCCTCAACATCTTCTACCCGTCTTTAAAAGATGTCCTTTGTGCCATCCTCAATTCTCCAGGTGTGACCCAGCCACCTGAGCCTTTGTAGACTGAGTATTAAGAAAAAGGTTTTAATACTCTTTTCAACACCTCAGTGTTTGTGATCTTGTCCTGCCACTTAATGCCAAGTATTCTTCTTGGGTTATTCAGCCGTTTCTCTTGGTGTACTACAGCATCTCTTAGCCCAGTCGGGACTAGGTGGGTGACATGGTCAACATGATACCAACTGCCTTTACTTTCCAGGACTTTTACTTGATACCCACTTTAATTTGGATTGACTTGGAAGTCAAAGTCATCTAAAAAAAAAGTTAGGCTCGATTTAGATTTGAACCCATGACCTTCAGATTTGATTTGATTCAAGAACCAACATCACAGCACTCAAGGCATTCCCATAAGCGCTCCGTCCCCATCTTCAGCAGCCAGCAAAGAGTTCCGATACTAATGGTGCCAGTAGCTTTCTGATTAAACGTCCGTCTTGCCTTTCCTCTGAGCCTTGAGCTTCTGCCAGAACGTCTCGCCACTCCCCGCTGCATCAATCTCACCAAACTATGCTGATCCATCTGCTCCTTCGCATTGTCCACGCTCTCCCACAAGGCACTAACCACATCTGCCCTATCATGTAGCAGTATTCCACCAAGTTGTGCAGAGCCAGCCAGTCTGTCCGCCTGTTCATTTCCCAACACACCGGCATGACCCGGTGAAAAAATCCAGACAATACCCCTCACTCGTGTCCTCCGCAGCGAAGCATGCCACTCTGCACGAAGCATACCTGTTCTGATCTTCCTCAGCATGCTTTCTGAATCAGTTACAATTACAATGTGTGTGTGTCGTGTTCTCTAGCCAGTGGAAAACTGCAGTGACCGCCTCCACCTCCATTCTTAAGCTGGATGTTGTGGTATCATGTGCTAGGCTCTCCTGCACCAAATGTCGACCATTAACTTTTGCTAAAAAGCCCCAAGCACTTCTTTTGCCTCTTGACACTGAACCGTCTGTGTAAATGATCAAATCCTCTGAGCGAGCATTATCTTGAATTATTTGCTGAATTTCCACCTCTGTGGCACCTGCTGGTCAGTCTCTGCATTCCCGGCTCAGCGTGATAATGACTCTACACAAGTCTGACTGCTCAGGTGGCACTTTGACCCACTCCTCTCCTCTCCTCCTTCAGATCTAAAGGTGAGCCTCTAGCCACTACTCCTCAGAGGCTCGGTAAAGACACTCATTGATTAAATTACAAAATAATTAGCTAGTTAAAAAGAATCCACCAAAAAGACCCCTGACTTACTCCATGTAGTTAAAGAGCCTCGAGTCCCAGAGATCATGATTTCCTCGCCCACCGTCATGAAAGTAGCAAGCATTAGTCCCATCAAATTGATTCAGTCCGTCCACCGTGTTTTTGCTAGCGTGGCTGTGTATCACGTCCAACAGAACAACAATTCCCTGCCCGTGGGCCACGTCTATCAGTTCCTTCAGCTCATCTGGGTTGCCATAGCGGCCGGATGCAGCAAAAAAGCTGGTCACTTGGTAACCAAAGCTAGCATAGTATGCGTGCTCCATGACTGCCATCAGCTGGATGGCGTTGTATCCTGAAATACTCGCAAGATGTTATCAGAAAATGATGAGTTGCAGGAAACAACTGACCAGATTTTTAATTTTAAAGGCAAGAGAATCGACTTTATTATCATGGATTGTTATCGAGTATGTCTTGATCTCTTTCTACCTACCTGTCTACCTACCTACCTGTCTACCCACCTACCTGTCTACCTACCTACCTGTCTACCTACCTACCTGTCTACCTACCTACCTGTCTACCCACCTACCTGTCTACCCACCTACCTGTCTACCTACCTACCTACCTGTCTACCCACCTACCTGTCTACCCACCTACCTGTCTACCTACCTACCTGTCTACCTACCTACCTGTCTACCTACCTACCTGTCTACCCACCTACCTGTCTACCCACCTACCTGTCTACCTACCTACCTGTCTACCTACCTACCTGTCTACCTACCTACCTGTCTACCCACCTACCTGTCTACCTACCTACCTACCTGTCTACCTACCTACCTGTCTACCTACCTACCTGTCTACCTACCTACCTGTCTACCTACCTACCTGTCTACCTACCTGTCTACCCACCTGCCTGTCTACCCACCTGCCTGTCTACCCACCTACCTGTCTACCCACCTACCTCTCCATCAATCTATGTATCTATCAATATCTATGTATCTATGTATCTATGTGTCTGTCTGTCTGTCTGTCAGTCAAGCTGCCAGTCTGTCTTTCTGTCTGTCTAATCTATCTATCTATCTATCTATCTATCTATCTATCTATCTATCTATCTATCTATCTATCTATCTATCTATCTATCTATCTATCTATCTATCTATCTATCTATCTATCTATCTATCTATCTATCTATCTATCTGTCCATCCATCTATCTACCTACCTACCTACCTACCTACACGTCTGTCTGTCTGTCTGTCTATCTGTGTGTGTGTGTGTGTGTGTCTTTCTGATTATGTGTGCATGTGTGTGTGCATCTGCGTGTCTGTGTGAGTGTGCATCTGTGAGTGTATTTGTATGTATGTGTGTGCCATTATGTGTCTGTGTCTGTCTGTGGCTGTGAGTGTTTGTGTGTGTGGCTTTGTGTGTGTGGCTTTGTGTGTATCTGTGTGTGTCACTATCGGTGTGTCTATTATATATGTCTGCCTTGTGCGTATGTCTCTGTTTTTGTCGGTATATGTGTCTGCATGTATGTCAGTGTGCGTATGTGTGTCTTCCTGTGTGCATGTCTGTGTGTATCTGTGTATGAGTGTTGCATATGTCTAGGTGTGTGTCTGTGTGTTTCCCTGCCTGTGTGTGTGTATGTGTTTGTGTGTGTGCCTGTGGCTGCATGTGTGTGTGTCTGTGTGGGTTTATGTCTGTGTGCGTCAGTGTGTGTGTTTGTAGGTGTCTTTTTGTGTGGCTGTGTGTGTGTGTGTGTGCATGTGTGGAAAGCTGTGTGTGTCTGTATGTGTCTGGGTTGTATGCGTGTGTTTTAGAATGTGTGGGTGACTGTGTGTATGAGTGTGTGTGTGTATGTATGTGTGTGTGTATGTACGCAAGTACGTATGTGTGTGCACGTTTGTATGTATGTGGATGTATGTGTGTGTTTGGTGCCTATGTGTGTGTGTGAGTGAATGGGTTTGCGTGTGTATGTCGGTGCGATCGTGCGCACATATTTTACCACTCATGCTTTTGTTTTTGACTTGATATTCATAATGTGCATATTATTACATGAACATAACATGCTTTATTGATGAAATACAACTGTTGTGTGAAAGACGGGAGTTTGGAAGGGTCGAATGTAAGACAGGCCTGCGTGCTTAATTTGTGAACCTTTGAAAATAAAGTTTGTTCGTTTTATCTATCTATCTATCTATCTATCTATCTATCTATCTATCTATCTATCTATCTATCTATCTATCTATCTATCTATCTATCTATCTATCTATCTATCTATCTATCTATCTATCTATCTATCTATCTATCTATCTATCTATCTATCTATCTATCTATCTATCTATCTATCTATCTATCTATCTATCTATCTATCTATCTATCTATCTATCTATCTATCTATCTATCTATCTATCTATCTGTTTGTCTGTCTGTATACCTACCTACTTATCTATCTCTACCTCTCTGTCTGTCCATTTATCTGCCAGTCTGTCTATGCGTCTGTCTGACTGTTTGTCTCTCTTTATATCTCAGTAAATGAAACATTGGAATATCAATAACATGCCACATCATTTTTCAGATTGGAATGCAAGTGTTTGCTGCAAGCGAACTACAAGCAGCAGCAGTAGAAGACGAAGAAGACAAACAAGAAGAAGAAGAAGAAGAAAAGGATGAGAAAGAAGAAGAGGAAGAGAAAAAGGAGAAGAACAAGGACAAAAAAAGAAAGTGTTGAGAAAAGAGATTGCAACAAAGACATTAGTAGATAACCAGAGGTAAATAAATGGTGTTGCAAACATACAGTACAGTAACAACAGATAGTTAAGTAACTAGAACTATCACAGTTGAAAGAGTAATTAGATTCATAGCCATGCATTATTTTCAGAGTCAGACACATGCCTGAAGTTATGTGGACAGTCCAAATGAGTATTGTAGATATAGAAAACAAAAAAACCACCATGATGAAGAGATGGTCAGCCTGGGTAAAGAGAACATATTATAAGAGAAGAAAACTAAAACGTACTATGGTAACTGGAAACATTAATGAAAAGATAGAAGAAGACAACAAGAGAATATTCCGAATCGCCATTTTTTTTAGACATAGAAAGGTGTCAACACAAAAACTGATCTAGAGGTGCAAAGGCATGACTGATCATGCGTTGGCAAGACACTTGATGATTGTGATTTACAGAGAGAATATCTCAACTGTTTATGTCTCAAAACATTTCACTGCATGACTGAACACACGCCTTAACTCTTTGAGTCCCAGGGGGTTCAGCATCACAGGCCCAGGGGGTAGTAAAGAACGTAATAAATCGGCGCATCATGCGTTCATTGGGATTCTAGTTAGGAACCTATGAACGTATGATGCGTTTCTTGAGACTCAAAGAGTTAAAAACAGTGGATCTCAACTTTTCTAAAGCGGCCACCCTTTAATGCAGTTCTTTATGTTGTGGCGAGCCCTAACGATACGATTATTTTTGTTGCTACTTTATGACCTCAATAAATACGTGTTTTCTGATGGTCTTAGGCGACCCTATGAAAGGGTTTTTTACCCCCAAAAGGATCGCGACCCACAAGCTGAGAACTGCTGCTTTAGAAAGATGCTAAATACAGTGCAAGTGGCCACTAGGGGGTGCCAGATATTTTTAATATGCTATGATCAAATAGTGCAAGTAAGAGATCACACACACAAAACAGTAAATCTAGATTACTAAAAAAGTGCCACAAACTAAAGAAATATGAGCATGTCAACGTGAAATTGTTTGTATCTCATACCCAGGTCCACGATTCTTGGAATGACATTTTGTGTGAACTGTTTGTAGGTTGCCACTTTGCCTTCCCATGATGCTATTCCAACATGGCTTTCATAGATCTTCAGGCCACCCAAAAGTTGAGGATGATGATTGATGAACTTATATTTCTGAAGAGCGAAGTCATTTTTAAAAGAAAGAAATGAAGGTTCATATGGGATTTATAATGAATAAAAGATTGAATGAAGAACATCAATGTAGACTGCATTTGTAAAAGTAATATGACACTTGCTTTCTGACATGGAGCTATGTACAGTGATAAAGCCATGTTCCCGATGGAAACAACAAGAAAATATGAAGATATTTCAATATTTTGCATTGCTTTTTCCACCTATACTGGATTTGAGCGACTCGTTTCTTCAAGCGTTGATCAATTCTGTCCACATTGGCAGCTTCACTCTGGTAGGTACAATTTGTTTTGGCTTACGTCGAACGCTAAGATTGCTTGAAGCTGCCGCGATTCGTTACCTCCGCCCTGAACTTAGTAAACAAAAAGACCAAATTCAGACACTGCGGCTGTCCTGGTAAAACAGTCAGTTGCGTTTAATTGTTGATGAATTTAATATTTGTTGCTAACAAGAGGTTTCTTCATTTCCAAAATGTACACAGAGGAAAGGCATATAATCAGACAGTTACTTCTCTGTGTGGGTTCCATGACCCAATGGATGGGGGGGGGGGGGGGGGGGGGGGGGGGGGGGGGGGGGGGGGGGATATCCACTGCCTCCCTAAAAGGCATCTTGTAAAAGTCCATTAAGGATTTTTCCCTCCAAAAGAAGTGCATCTGCCCAAGAGATGAGGAATCAAACGTCTGTAGATCTGTAAAACGGATGTGCATGCAGAATTCAAGTTCTGGAACAAGACTGAACATACAGAACTTTCCACCGACACGTACAGTTATTGATACCATCAGGACTGAAACTTGTTGCTAGTTGCTGTAGATGGGGACCCCCCATGTGGATTCTGGGAAGAAAATAACAGACCCACTGTCTCCCTAACAAGCATGTCATACAAGGCGACTAATTATGGGAGTTTCCTTCGAAATGGGAGTGCGTTTGTCTGAGAGTTGAGGAACCAACTTACAAATTAGCCAGATCTGTAAAACGGATGTGCACGCAAAACTCAAATTGTGGAGAAGAGCAGAGTCCAGCAATTGACGAATAACCAGAACTTTCCACTGGAGTTTACTGCCGGGTAACTTGAAGAACAGGATGGGGATGAAACGCTTATGAAATTGTTAACAAATTGGTTAACATTTTTTCAGCCCCAAACAAACAATAGTTTTGGTACCTTTCCAGCTTTTTAGACAATAGTTAGATAGTGCAATGGCGAGGTATGGGAATCATTGCCCATAACGATGGGGAGTCTGACTAGCAAGACCCGCCCTCGTTAAGAAAAGTCTCCCACAACTGGACCATGAGATTGCAGGATCGTTGGTGCCATCAGATGTATTTTTTTTTTCCCTCAGACAGGCAGCCATCAACCTTTTTTTTTTTTTTTTGCTGTCATGTTTTCCTTTCTTCTAATTTCCTGTTAGCCCCAAAATAGCTGTTACTATTGTTTGTGTTCTACATATTAATCTGGGTGGGTGCATGTGTTGTACCTCTCTTCCTCCGCCTGTGTGTGTGTGTGTGTGAGAGAGAAAGTAAAGAGAGAGAGACAGAGACAGAGAGAAAGAGAGAGAGACAGAGACAGAGAGAGAGAGACAGAGAGAGAGAGAGGGACAGAGAGAGAGAGAGACAGAGAGAGAGACAGAGAGAGAGACAGAGAGAGACAGAGAGAGAGAGACACCCCCCCCCCCCCCCCCCCCCCCCCCCCCCCCCCCTAGACAGAGAGAGAGAGAGACAGAGAGAGAGAGACAGAGAGAGAGACAAAGAGAGAGACAGAGAGAGAGACAGAGAGAGAGAGACAGAGAGAGAGACAGAGAGAGAGAGACAGAGAGAGAGACAGAGAGAGAGACAGAGACAGAGAGAGACAGAGAAAGACAGAGAGAGAGAGACAGAGAGAGACACAGAGAGAGACACAGAGAGAGAGACAGAGAGAGACAGAGAGAGAGACAAAGAGACAGAGAGAGACAGAGAGAGAGAGAGACAGAGAGAGAGACAGAGAGAGAGACAGAGAGAGACAGAGAGAGAGACAGAGAGAGATACAGAGAGAGATATAGAGACAGAGAGAGAGACAGAGAGAGAGAGACAGAGAGAGAGACAGAGAGAGACAGAGAGAGAGACAGAGACAGAGAGAGACAGAGAAAGACAGAGAGAGAGAGACAGAGAGAGACACAGAGAGAGACACAGAGAGAGAGAGACAGAGAGAGACAGAGAGAGAGACAAAGAGACAGAGAGAGAGACAGAGAGAGAGAGATTAAATGTTTTAACCACCAAGGAAAACATATTTTTTTCCTACGAGAGCCCATACAATAATCAATACCAGCTGGTTCTTTTGACCACAGCCAAAAACTGAGTGATCACTTCTCGTCAATGAACCGACATTCTGATCATTTGAGCTCTGAAAGGCATTGCGTTAACCCCCTCTGAAACCCCCCCCCCCCCCCCCCTCCCCTCCTTCACCACCCCAACCCCGAAAAAAAAAAGGGTGACAGAGAAACAAAGTGGACGAAAGGAAAAGAAAATGTGACCACCAATCTAGCCAACACGTAAACTATGTTCTCTGTTCAACATCATATATCATGCGTTGTTTTCTTTCGGTAACATATCATAAATGAATAATTTAGCAACAAGGAGAACAATCACCTGCGGAGGGTCCCAGAAGATCTGCTCAAATATTGGGACATTTTTGGGACGCCTCACCAGCTGTGCCCATGGACAGATGCGATCAACAACATGGCCGTTGTGCAATTTCATACCAAGCTACATTGAAACAAAAATCAGGTTGTTGTGCAATTTCTTGCCAAGCTACATTGAAACAAAAATCAGGTTGTTGTGCAATTTCTTGCCAAGCTACATTCAAACAAAAATGAATCAACAAACAATCACTAATAAACTACAAATACTCATAAACCACTACCTAGACAAACAGAAGAACGAAATTTAAGTGATAGAATCAACAATGTGACGCTTGGGGAGAGAACTGAACAAATCTCAGTGAATCAAGTGGTGTGAAAATACCCAGGTGCTGGATATGAAACAAAAGAATTGAAATGGTATGATGAAATCAGAAGAGTATAACAAGCAGAGAACTAAACTAATGATGGTGAAGTCAGAAAAGAGGAAACACCATGTGCTACAAATGAAACAAAATGAGAAACTGTAATGGTGTGACAGAATCTCGCCTTAGAATTCCTTGAGCAGAAAACAACCCAGGTGTTTTTCAAGCAGCAAGAGGTCAGACGCAACTTATCATAAACAGTCATAATTTACTCTGGTTATGTTAAGGAAAGATGAAAAATGGAACATGCTGCGACCAGTGGAAAATTATAAAAAAAAAAAAAAAACAGGGAGAGGCAAAACGCCAAATGATTTTCTGACAGCTTTTTGCCATGGCATGGAGTGGTGTCTGCAGATAAACTGATAATGACGTTGAGGATTGCAGACTGTGAAGAGGCCTAATTGCCCAAATCAGTTGGCAAGGCATTTGATGATGGTGACTGCAGAATCAGAAATGTGGAGCTTAATTCGAGAACTAAAAAACTCCACTAAGTCAAGAAGTAAGGAAACACCCACGTGTTGAATATGAAACAATTTTAAAAACCTGATAGTAGCTTGTCGGCTCTGTGGCTAAGTCGATGCGAACGCTTCGCTTCGTAATGCCGGGATGTCAGGTTCGACCCCAGCTGCGGGCAATGCGCCTTGCGTTGGTTTCGACAGTGGTATCAAGAAAGCCGACCGTCCAGAAAGCAATGGCAAACTACTGGATGTAAATTGCCTAGAGAAACCACACAACAGCCAGGGGCTGCTGGGGTTGGTTCTGCAACGTCCTGTAAAGGATACGCAACTAAAAGAAGAAGAAAGAAGATAGTAGCTTGTATAATTCTGAAAATTATCTGGTAACCATTTTATGAGACCAGGTTAACCCCAAAGCCATCTAATTTTAGCGAAACAGCTGGTGACTGAGCCGTGATCCTTGTATTGGCAGGAAAGTTCACTAATCACCGTGCCACTGTAGCCTCACAAATCTGCTGGATAACCGTTTTCTCTGCTTGATGAATTTTAAAAATTTAAGTTAGCGCTGTGAATAGAAAGTGAACATCATATCTGTAGCCATCTAGGAAAAGAGAAACATTGCTTTGGGGGGAAGGGTGTTGGGGGGGGGGGGGGAGAGGAAGAGAAAAATGAGTAGTGATACAAAAGTGTTTTGAATATCTTGGGTCATTGATTACCAACAATGGTGACACAATGAAAGAAATTAAACAGAGACTATCAGTTGCTCTTCAAAGACTAAAACAACTCAATAAATTATGGAGTGGGACAGACAGAACTACAAAAATTAGATTTTAAGAGTATGCATCTTTCCCATTGTAATATGCGCCTGTGAGACCTGAACACTTACTAAACAAGATGAATAGCACATAAATGCCTATTGAATACAATTGTTATAGACGGGTTCTAAGAATATCATGGGTAAAGAAAAGAACAAATGCATCCATACTTTTAGAACTTTATATTAAAGAAGGTTGGCTATTAAAGACGATAAAACCCAGAAAATTAAAATATTTTGGTCACTTGAAACATCACGAAAGTTTCGAGACAATAATAATGGAGGGGTATATGACTGGCAAGAGAGGAAGAAGAAGGCCAAAGAGAAGATGGGTGCCGGATGTGACGGTTGATCTCCACATGGGTGTATCAGATGCAGGACATCTTGCTTATGATTAAGACGTTTTCTGGAGGATTGTTATGGGAGCAAGGTTCTGCAAAGGTCATGCTACTGACTGACTGACTGATACAAAAGAGAAACATACATATATGTAGCAACAAACTGATACAAGCAGATAGAGAAAGAAAAAAAAAACTGGTTCCTTTTACCTTCAGTTTGCTTTCATGTTTGATCAGACAAGAACCATCTGTGTCTGCAGGAATTTTCAAGTGCCACCGACCAAAGTCCCCTTGCTGGAAAGCGTACTTCTCCTCAATATGCCAGTCATCTGTTTCAAAGAAGGATTTGTTGAATGTGGAATTAGGAATCGACATCAAAGCACTCGGGATGTAATTATCATTACAGCACTCCCGACAGATCCATAAGTGTTCAGATCTCCTCCTCAAAAGCTCCACAAACGACTGATGATGTCTGTTCTGTGTTGGCAAACAGGTTAACACCACAACCATTTATTCTAATTAACATGTGTGTCTGCAACTAAAATATAATGGGTATGCTGTCATGGCATTTCTCAAGTTAAAAAATCCAAAAACTGGGCCAAGTGATATTCTGTGGTGATTTCAGTGCCAGAGGAAAACTGTGGGGGAACATCCGCTCTAATCCACAAGGTGAGGACCTGGAGGAGGCACTGGTACATGCTGAAGCTGCATGTCTCAATGATGGAGGAACTACTCGACTAGCCCTTCGCCCTGATGATACAGATAGTGTTATTGTCTTGGCTCTTGATACCCCAAGATCACTCTGGCTTTCAAATGTTAATGTGGCGTCCTTGGCTACCATGGCAGTGACCACCTTCCAAGTGTAGTACTGCTAAAGAAACACAAAGTACTAACCCATCTGCTACAAAGATACATTACAAATTAAAATAGCGGCAGTGACATCACTAGCAGAATACGAAAACTTATCCGATACAAGAAGCCTAGATGACATCCTCCATGGTGGAATATGAAAGAAGAGAAAAGCTGGCAAGCAAAGAGGCAGACAGTCAGAGAATGACAAAAAGCACGGAAGACAGGCAGCACCCATGAGCTCAACACCTTGATACAAACCATGAAAGAAACAACAATTCATTTCAAAACAGTAGCATGGCAGAGCAAAAATGTAAAACAGGAAGAGTTCTGCGAGACGGTGGGTCGTGAACAATTTTTGAAGCTTTTCTTGCGGCTACAGCAGTCTACGATTAGTATACAGTATAACTTGCTTGACATTCAGAAAGATGATGGTAGGTGGCACAGAATGGACGAAAGCAAAGACGGCACATTATGGATGAAAGCAAAGACGGCACATTATGGATGAAAGCAAAGACGGCACATTATGGATGAAAGCAAAGACGGCACATTATGGATGAAAGCAAAGACGGCACAGAATGGATGAAAGCAAAGACGGCACAGAATGGATGAAAGCAAAGACGGCACAGAATGGATGAAAGCAAAGTTAACACAGAATGGATGAAAGCAAAGGCCTTTTACTTTCCAACAGACATTTGCAGCAAAGAAACCAGATGGATACAAGGAAGTGATTATTCGGTCCTCTCATCTGTTTCAGTGTTCCTTAACCTTTTTACACCCGCGACCCATTGCAACGGGGACAAATGTTTCACGACCCAGCTAACCAAACACAGAAACCAAAATTAATGTAGATAGTCAGTTTATTTGTTAAATCCAGTGTAAAAAAATACAATTTTCAGCTAATGTGACCTGTTTCTGCTTATAAAATCGTATATGTGTGACATGAGCGCTAAATCTGATAGACAAAGTGCTGCAATAACATTCATTCGATTTCTAAATTTTTGTTTTTATTACTGACAAGGCTGAGAAATTATTTACACACAATCGGGAAGTTAAAAAAAAAAACAGCAATTTACTAGTTCTTTAACTCAGACAAGGATATTCGTGTTAATTGTATTTGTATTTTTTGTGTGTGTGATATCCAAAACAAATTTTATATTGTATTGTTTGGACACAATTTCATGACATAAACATCATATGTAAAGATCGACCTATTTCCTCAGGACTCTCTGTTTGGGCGGATGGTGGATGGAAGGAGGCCTAACTGCTCAAGATGGCATGCTGTTTTCTTTGCAACTATCTTTTCCAACAGCCTGCCAATTGTATTCTGCATTGTGATTACACGTTGCCCTGTATTGTTGTTGTGTGGTCTTTATCAGGCTTTGGCAAATCTATCAGATAACTATGCAGCCACTCTTCATCGATTGTCGCACTTTCAATACCGCTGTTGTAGATACTCGTCAATTCCTCTAACTCTTTATCAGACATCTGAGAAATATCTCAATAGCGGATGCCATCTGGACCAGATGCATTATTTATTTTGCCTGCCTTAACACAACCCTGATTTCACCCACACGCACACAACCTTTTTCCTCCATGTCATGAGCTTTACAAATACCTGAAACATGTGTTCTGGCAACTTGGCACCTTATTCTGTCGTTTTGGTCACCCTGCTCAAGGTAGCGAGCGAGCAGAGCCATGCCTTTTTGCACGTCAGTTCTGGGCCAAGTGAGGTCACCACTCTGGAAGTCTGGAATGCATTTGCTTTTAGATGCCCTATTCATGCTTCTAAACAAGCGCCAGAACAATGTTAGTGGTTTGTCTCTGCCCATCATCATGCACAACTTCATCCACTTCTCATTTTTAGCAATTCTAGCCTGAGATTTGAAACAGGCAGACTTCTCATCCATGACTTGTTTTAATAGCTGAATGTGGCCAGGTAGAGCAGTTCTGAATTTTTTCTCATGCTGCCACTGTTTGACGGTTTGGCGCTTATCTTTCCAAGCTTTCTGCACCTCGTCATTCCACCGGGTGCTCGTGTCCAGTTTTGTTTCCCCTAAAGGTGTGTGTTTTATGCTTCTTATACCAGACTGTACTCAAGATGTCATGGACTGAAGTGTCGTAACTACAGGTCGGCACCTTGGGCTTATGTTTCCTCGATCTACTTTTCTCCCTAGTTTGCAGCAAGAAAATTATCACTGTCGTGCTGTCCTTGGACACTTCATCGACATACAGACATGAGCGGGGGCGATACCAATTTCAGGTCCCCCCCCCCCCCCCCCCCCCCCCAGTACCCACAAACACCATTCTGATACTATTTTACCCAGACTTATGTAGTACTCACTGAAGTCTCCTCGAAGGTATATGCCGGCAGCACCAGGTGCCCATTCTGTGACAGTGATGGAGTTATCCATCTGACGGTGCACACCAAATGTTTCATAAGCTCTTGAGAACTGCTCAAGCCCACCTTCTAATTTCTCGATCTTTGTCACCACTTCATAGAAGACACCATACCTGCACCAATAAACAAACAACATTATTTTAAACACATGTGTAACGTCAAACATGTCACTAAAAACCTGACATTCAATAATAATAATAATAATAATCAGGTGCCTTGCCAACTGGCGTGGGCGATCGTGCCTCTCCCTAATCCATGATCTCCTGCAGCATGTATCAGTTGGTGTGCCGACACACCTCCATGCCATGCAACAAGACTGTCAAGAATCTTCTCTCGTTGTCTTCCTCTATCCCTCTTTCCACAGATCTTTCCAGTGAAAAGTGACGACTGTCTCCTTCTGATGTCTGTGATAAGTTGTCTTCGGGCTCCCGCCTCTTACAAAACCTCTTGGTTTCTCTTTTTGGCTGTCCAAGGTACTCTAAGCATTTTTCTGTAAAACCACATCTCTAAGGCCTCAAGAAATTGTTTGGCCTGCCAAATAATAATAATAATAATAATATATACATTTAAACATGACTTTTTCTAGGAAAATAAATGGGTAGAGTGTGTTGTTGAATTTGTTAAATAATTAGACATTAGAGCTGTTTTAGCACTAAAAAGTCACGTTATATACAAACAGTAAGATTAGGAAGAAAAAAGTGTGTATACTGCACATACCCAGAGAACAAATATGTGCACGCACGCACGCGCTCACACACACACTCACACATACATATACACATACATACTCAAGTAATTACAATATTACTTGGGGCTAAGAATGTGAATCATCATATTATACATCAGTTAAAGTCTCACAACATGGAGACTGTTTCAACAAGAATGAAAAATATCAGAATTCCAATGATGTGGTACAACTTATAGACAAATCCACACAGCTGACAGCTGTTTATAGGCAAGCTGTCCTACTAGACAATATAATACGAACACATATTTGATGCATTAGAAAACTATACAAGAGAAAAAGCTCACATTTTGAATCCAGTTACATCATTAGGGCGATGCAACCTTTACCCTTGACCTGGGGGTACGTGTCATTCTTTCTCCTATTACTGCTCGCTAACTTCACACACAATATTGCAAGAGTTAGCTGATTTAATGGAACTTCATGAAAGACTTCTGCCTGATGTCCTCATTACTACAAGTCTGAACTGGCAGGTGATCAACAATGTCGTGACCCATATAGATTCGGAAACCATTGTGTGGAAAAACCATTGGCGCTGGCCAGCCCAAACTCAAATCATGGGGTACTCTGTGTAGGTTCTGTGCCCCATTGTGGTCGGGTGGGAGATAGAATATCCGCCCCTAACAAACATGTCCGAAAAGGGGTGTTTCTTTCAGAATGGGAGTGTTTCTGTCCGAGAGGCGTGGAATCAACAGTCTGCAAATTGGGCAGATCTGTAAAACAAAATGTGCATGCAAAACGCGAGTTCTGGAACAAGCTCAAGTTCAGACGCAGACAAACAACTAAGACTTTTCTCCAGTCTAAAGGATAAATGCAAATATGGAAGAAAGAGAAGAAGAAATCATGGGTAAATGAAAGAATGCCCTACTAATTGAAAAAAAAAAATATTTTAATGTACATTGAGTTTGACTCCTGCCAAATGGCAATTTGGAGTAAAAAGTCCATCTAACAAGCATATTACTATATAACAGATCAATTCTCATGTTATCACAGGTATTTGACTAGAACAAGAAATGTATCAATACTGTTTGAGAAAACTGCGTTTCAACTGCAAAGTTCCTACAATTTAAGGAAACACTATTCCTAATCGACTGTGATAAATTATTAAATCATTTATGCAGTAAAATACATCTCAGTAGTGGCGAAATAGGAAATAATCAGCTTGTAAATCCACACTAGGTTAGTTGCGTTTCCTTTACAGGATGTTGCAGAACCAACCCCAGCAGCCCCTGGCTGTTGTGTGGTTTCTCTAGGCAAAATTACGTTCAGTAGTTTGCCATTGCTTACTGGATGGTCAGCCCCCTGATACTACTGTCGAAACCAACGCAAGGCACATAGCCCGCAGCTGGGATCGAACCCGGCAGCCCGGCATTACGAAGCGCTCGCATCGACTTAGCCACAGAGCCGACTGTTAAGTCCACCCTACATAGAAATAAATAATGGCCCGCCATTCTACATCGCAAGCCGCCGTGGTACAGTAATTAGAGCACTTACTAAGGCAATGTGCTAGAGTACAACCTCCAAAGTCGTAGAGATGTAAACCAGTTAATAAGACCAACCTCATGCGTCCTTACCTGCACGAGACTGAAAACCTTTTATTTTCAGCAGTCAGCTTTAACATACTAAGGTGACAGAATTTGTATCCCTGTGCTCAGGTGAGCTGCCACAATGAAAACAATGAGGAGGGGGGGGGGTTAAAGCTATTCTAATTTTCCAGGGATTGGGAAATCAAGGGCCTAAACCTGGTTTAATTGCACAGTAATAATAATAGTAATGATTGTGTGCTGAATGGCCAGCAACTATAATCATGTTCCTGAACGTGGTAAAAGACCATTATATTCATATTATTTATGTATGATCAATGGCAAATAAATGTCATATTTGAAATGATATTAACTGAATGAACAAATTATTTTTTTTTTAAATAACGTCTGTACATGGTTGGGGGGATGAGGGAGTGGGGGTACATGGTTGGGGGGATGAGGGGGTGGGGGTGCATGGTTGAGGGGATGAGGGAGTGGGGGTACATATTAGGGGGAATGAGGGAGTGGGGATACATGGTTGGGGGGATGAGGGGGTGGGGGTACATTGTTGGGGGGATGAGGGGGTGGGGGTGCATGGTTGGGGGATGTGGGGGTACATGGTTGGGGGGATGAGGGGTTGGGGGTGCATGGTTGGGGGGGGGGGGTACATGGTTGGGGGGATGAGGGGGAGGGGGTGCTGTTCTCTTTAAATATTATGGGTGGGGGTGGGGGTGTTCATGCGTGTGAACCCTAAAGTTGTGGCACCCATGCACCAACAGAAGTACCTTGGAGTGGCTGCTGCGTGCCCAATATGCAGTGGTGTCTATTCTGATAACATAACATAATGTAACCGATGCCTGTACATATCTGCAACTGTCATCATCTTTACTTGATTTCTTTCTCAGCTGCACCTGAACGTCATGGCTCCACGCAGCGTTAATTACACAATACATAACTGAAAAGACATCTCACAAATAAATTCGAAAGAAAAGATGTACTTATGAAAGAGTTTTTAGCACTGTATCCTACTCTACATCTAGTTGAATACAGTACTTCTGAAACAGGGGGTTGGGTCTGGTGAGTTTTTAACGCTTTAAATCGATATTTGTGTGGTCTACTACGTTACCAAACAATTGTCTGAAAACAATATGTCCGATCAGTCATCGTCTTCACGCCCATCAAAGCGATTTACTGCTTTAGAATCATCAAATTTGATAAATAGTGGATCGATTAAAGTAATGTGGAGTTGGATAATGATAATAGCGACGTGAAATTTTCCCAAACCGTTGACGAGTCAAGTTTTGATGAGGATGTGTGCGTAATGTACCTCCTGCTAAGAGGACAAAACTGACTAATTCTGCCATGGCAACACAAGAGAAGCACCTCGTAACGCAACACCAGCTAGTCCAAATGTCAGCGCTTCTAGTACTACTATCCATATCATCTAAAACCATGGATATATAACTATGAACAGGTTGACATGTTTACAGTGCCTTTACAGTTTTTTCTATGTGAGGAGTTCAACTGTTTTTAGAAAAGTCACTGTTTGTGCCACTGGAGAATATATTTTGACGTGTTATGGTAGTGTTATTAAAATTGCTATGGAACAATAACTATTGCACATTTTGCTTTAATATTGGCTGTGCATACTTATAAGTGGTGTACCTTCCTTTGTGATGCGTTTTTGATATACTATATCAAGAATTTTGGGATCAGCTTCTGGGTAAGTGGAAAAAACTTGTTCATAATTTACTCACCTCTCAAACTAAGTCACTGTTTTCTCTACTAAATACTAACTAACAGTATAATTGTTTGTTGTAGCAGTATGTTAGTATTAATCCTTATCCATTTATGTTTAAATTTTATTTTATGTATGATATGTATATGTTGGACATCAGCTGCAGTTGTGTGGTTTGTTTTAAAGTGCTGCATTTGTTAAAAGTCAAAATCATATTATATTACCCCCCCCCCCCCCCCCCCCCTTTTATTTTTGGGTCTCTGATGCAAAACCCCCTGGGACTCAAAGAGTTAACGGATGCTTTTCCACTGTATGCTGTGTATTCGCCTGAAAGAGATCAGTAATTTACATGTAACTGAGGCCCTGTTAGGGTATATTTTCGGCCGCGATAATTTGGGACCGTTATTCTGAGGACACCCGATATAGCCTGTAGACATTACTATTACTAAAGGCGTGAAAAGGGATCCTTTACTTTGGAAACAGCTGATGGAAATACCTTCGCTTAATTTCGGTTTCATACATTCGGAGATAGCCATCAAGTTGGAAGGTCTTCTCTAGGTCAGGATGCGGTGGAAGCTTCGATAGATCTCCCTGTTCCATCCGTCTGGCGGTTCTCTTCTGATCGTATTTCCCGGCCATTGTAGACTGCTGGGTCAAGGTGATTAGTGGTCACCCCGGAAACACAACTTCAGACACGTCATACACACAAACATTTGTTATCTCATCATCATTATCATGTAGCAGGTCCTTTGCAGAATGAAGCTCTCATCACAGTCTGCCTGAAAGAAACTAGGCCTCTCGCCAGTTCTCCCGCCCCATGTACTTTCATTCTCAATAAGTCACTTAAAACCTGTGCTCATCTTCGTGTCGGTCGGCCCCTGCCCCTCCTTCCTGGTACATGCCTTCTGTTATATTTTTTCCAATCCGTCGTGGAGCTTGATATGACCAAAATATTTCAGCTTTCGAGACAGGATGCTGTTTATTAGCCAATCTCCCTTGATGTTAAGATCTTTCAAGATGTCAGTATTTCTCCTCCTCTGTCCAAGATATTCTGAGAATCTTTCTTTGGCATTTCAGCTCAAAAGCCCCTTTTCTTTTTCTTAAGGAATGAGAGATAGTCCACGACTCACATCCGTATGTAGCCACAGGGAAGATGCATCATCATCATAACCACTTCTGTCCTTAAGCGTCATGGGGAGGAATAATTTGAGAGTGCACGTTGGCTGCCGGGTGATGCATCTTGATACCAAAGAAGCAGGCTGGCAGGTCCCAATCTACGATGGTCATCTTTGTCGGCTCCTGGAGTAGATTTGGGCATCTCGTGGACTGCAAAGGTTGATAAAAAACTTGGCGATCTGGGCTCGAAGCAGGTGTCACGGGTCGTGATGGTGAAACTCAGTGAACAAACTCCGCACGTTTATTCGACCTCTCGTCAAGTTATCCTTTAGAAATGCTGCCTAAAAGTAATTACATTCCACATGAGAACGTCGTATGTAAAATGCGTGGTCTTTCTTGCACATCATTTACTTACTGAGAACATAAGGAGAATTAAATTCCTTCTCAAGAGAAACTTATGCTTGCAAGCATAGGATGCAACTACACAAACATATCGCAATTGTGGTTACAGTTTGTCAGATGCAGGGTTCTTGGCATAAGCTGCTTGATACTCGTTCAATACGTTGCAGGCCGGAATTTATTACTCTCTACATTTTATTTCATATCAAACGAGTCATGCCCAACTACTTAAGGTTGAAGGAATAAAGACATTTTAATTGAAATGTAAGTTTGAAAATGAGTTGACAGCTTCTACAGAACAGTGTGTTAATAAATAATCAGGTTATGTCGCCTTGTGTGTGTGTGTGTGTGTGTGTGTGTGTGTGTGTGTTTATATATATATATATATGCGCACACTACTGCCACTTTTGCTACTACCGCGACTACTACGGCTACGACTACTATTAAGGCCTTTTTTTAGAAGCAAAGGTGCCGAAAAACCAGACTACTACTACTACTACTACTACTACTACTACTACTACTACTACTACTACTACTACTACTACTACTACTACTACTACTACTGCTGCTGCTGCTGCTGCTGCTGCGACGACCACCACCACCACCACTACTGGTCTGATGCTGGCTGATACTGAGATGACGTGTTTTTCCTAAATCTAAGTTTTGGATTTATTTATTTTGTATTCAAGTTGTGCCGGCAAACTGGCGATGTTTTTAATATGTTTGTCATCGTTATTCTGTCGAACGTGCAGTGAAATATTTTTTACGCCATTGGGTATCATGAATGTAGTAGTAGCATTACTTATATCCCACCAGGACATCACACAAAGTGCCACCATGTGGATGAGGATCACCCCAGGAGAGGTCCCAGAAACCGCGTTCAGTCATTCATTGTCATCATCTTCATTCAGAGCACTTGAGGTTTATTGCTGCAGATATCACCCGCCTCCATTCATCTCTCTGGTTGTTCTGTTTCAGCATTCCGAGCCCTTGAGGTTCATTGCTGCAGATATCACCCGCCTCCATTCATCTCTCTGGTTGGCCTTCTCTTTCCAGTTGGTGACAACTAGTGTTTACAGGTCTGTTTGGATATTATCTCTCCATCGTCTTCTTGATATGCCTCATGGTCTACCACCATTCATCTCCCTCGTGTATTCAGTTTTTACTAATCTGTCATCTGACATTCTTTCAATATGCCCCAACCATTCCAGCCTATTAGGTCTCATGATGAAGGTGATCAGTGGTGATTTAAACAGATTATGAATTTCGTTGTTGCTTCTCACTCTCCATTCACCGCTGTTTGCATCTTTGATGGGTCCAAAAATTCGTCGTAAGACTGTTCTCGAAAACATATAATAAGGCATTATCTCTTTTAGATGTGCTCCAAGTTTCAGAGTCATCTAAACCGACTGGTCTAGTTAACGTTTTATATATTTTGATCTTGATGTTGCGAGTTAGAGACTTTGACTTTAGCAGATGTTGAAGGGCATAGTATAAGTTCTTCCCGGACTGTATTCTAGAATGTATTTCTTTTCTCAGCATGTTGGAGCATTTGAAGTTTGCACTTATATGTTTACGTTTGTTTGATTTTCATATTATCAACTTGTATATGGCCGGAGTTTATATAATTTCCCTGTCTAGTTATTATCATGTATTCTGTCTCATCTTGATTGATAACTAGTCCCATTTTCTGAGCTGATTCTTTTAGGACAGTCAGTATTTTAACAGTATCTAGTTCATTTTCTCCAACGATATCAATGTCATCAGCATATCCAAATGTTCTTGTAGTTTCGCCTAAAGTATACTCTTGTTTCAATTTCCTTATAATTTTCTCCAGGGCCAAGTTGAAAAGAAGTGGGGACAACGCATCACCTTGCTTTAAACTAGATGTTATTTGAAAAGGGTCTGACTTTCTGCATTTATATATTCTTATATTACGAGTGTCTTCCATGCATAGTTTGGTTATCCTAATTAAGTTTTTTCGGTATTCCAAATTCTTTCATAGCATTCCATAAACTGTTTCTATGCACACTATCATACACCTTTTTAAAATCCATAAAAACATTATGTACATCTTTTCTATATTCCCAATTTTGCTCTGCTATTTGCCGTAATCGGCCATGTTATGAAAAGAGGGAAAATAGAACATGTTGTGACCACTGGAAAGATCTGTGGAAGGAGATATAGAGGAAAACAACGAGAGAAGATTCTTCACAGTCTTGTTGTATGGCATGGAGGCATGTCGGTACACGAACTGATACATGCTGCAGGAGATCGTAGATTATGGAGAGGCATGATCGCCCAAGCCAGTCGGCAAGGCACCTGATGATGATGATGATGATTTGCCGTAAAATGAATATCGGATCTATTGTTGATCTGTTCTGTCGGAAACCCGCTTGATAATCTCCCAATATGTCTTCGACATGGTTTTAGCCGGTTTAACAGTACCGACGATAGTATCTTATACTTATAGCTTGTAGATAATAGTGATATTCATCTATAATTTTCACACTTATACTTGTCTCTTTTCTTAAAATTGGGTATTCCAAGTCGATGCTAAAAAATCCCAGTCCTTACCGGGGATTGAACCCGGAACCCCCAACCGAAAAATTTGGACATATGTTGGCGAAATCTGTTGTGCCCAGTCCTTAGTCTGAATATAATACACTGTCCCTCTCTAGAGAGGCGACGAAACGAGTCCCGGGGAGAGAATTTGGTGTGTATCCAGCCACCTTTCTTGGATACTAGCTTGAATAATGTTTTCTTCTCTTGGCGGGTTAAGTCACTATTTGGTTGTACCATGTCACTGCCGCATCTGGTCAATCTGTCTGCTATTTCATTGCCTTCCAAGCCACAGTGACCTGGAATCCACTGCAGTACAGATTGTTCTACTGAAGAGCCTAAGTAAATCAGCTGTTGCGTCAAGTCTACAAACTGAGTGTCTTTTGGGTTAACAATTGCTTGTAGAACTGACATGGCATCAGTCAGAAAGACCACTTTGCTATATTTGCTGTGATGTTGTCAATTCAGGAAAGAACATGCCGCTAGTTCTGCAGCCATTACTGTTATTACCAGCTCAGGCTGCGGCGTCCGCGGCTCAGGCGTTACGAGACCGACTCGTAATTCCAACGTACCGCAATCGAAAACCACTGCTGACTGCGTGGATTTTATCATGGAATGGGGCGTCGCAGGTAAACCCAGCCTAAAATGTGTACCAGGATAGCTGTTCTGGGGAAGTAAAGACGGCCGGCGTAATGCTGACCACATTACCCACCTAGTGCCGATGGTCTGAAAAAATATGGGTGCTCTTCCCATATACCCGACGCCTAAAGGCGTGAAAAGGGATCTTTACTTACTTGACTTTACCTGCCCAGGCTAGGATAAGCCGAGTGTTATCTGTTCTTATTGAAGAGAAACTTGTCAGTAAATTGCTACCAAATGACCCACATCTGACTTCAAATCATAGGTGTGTCAGTGTTGTTAAACTGTGGTAACAATCATAGCGTGTCAGTGTTGTTAAACTGTAGTAACAATCATAGCGTGTCAGTGTTGTTAAACTGTGGTAACAATCATAGCGCGTCAGTGTTGTTAAACTGTGGTAACAATCATAGCGTGTCAGTGTTGTTAAACTGTAGTAACAATTACAGTGTGTCAGTGTCGTTAAACTGTAGTAACAATCATAGTGTGTCAGTGTCGTTAAACTGTAGTAACAATCATAGTGTGTCAGTGTTGTTAAACTGTGGTAACAATCATAGTGTGTCAGTGTTGTTAAACTGTAGTAACAATCATAGTGTGTCAGTGTCGTTAAACTGTAGTAACAATCATAGTGTGTCAGTGTCGTTAAACTGTAGTAACAATCATAGTGTGTCAGTGTCGTTAAACTGTAGTAACAATCATAGTGTGTCAGTGTCGTTAAACTGTAGTAACAATCATAGTGTGTCAGTGTCGTTAAACTGTAGTAACAATCATAGTGTGTCAGTGTCGTTAAACTGTAGTAACAATCATAGTGTGTCAGTGTTGTTAAACTGTGGTAACAATCATAGTGTGTCAGTGTTGTTAAACTGTAGTAACAATCATAGCGTGTC